GGGCTAGAGCATGACTTCCCACTTCCTCCAGGCAAGACCTATGTGGGTCTGAAGATAGTCCGAGCTCTACTGGACAATGAAGCCCAGCGGGGGGACAAGTCTCCCATCCTGGTGGTCTGCTACACCAACCACGCCCTGGACCAATTCCTGGAAGGTGAGTGTGCCTCCTCTTGCCCCCCTTCCCCCTGGGGCCGTCCGCAGCCCCACGCAGGGCAGGCCATGAGCCCCGGGCGGGAGGCAGAGCCACCGCCGCTGCTCTCACGGGGCCGACGGCTTCCATCCCGCGAGTGGGCGGGAGGCCAGAGCTCGTTGCCTGCTTGGGGGTGGAGGCAGGGGCGGGGGGACACTGCTGCTCCTGGGCTGTGAACGCCTGCGCTTCTTTCCAAGGGATCCACACCTTCCAGAAAAGGGGGATCGTGCGTGTGGGCGGGCGCAGCAACAGCGAGACCCTGCGGCAGTTCACCTTACGGGAACTGCGGAACCAATTTCGGCACGAGCTGCGTCACCACTTGCGCCGGGCCTATCACGAGGTACGTTGCCGGATCGGGCGAGAGGGGGGACTCTGGTGCTCTTTGGGGAGCCTGTCTGATGCCCCCTTGGTGACTCCATGGGGCCATGGGAGGGAGGGCTGGCGTGAATGCCTCTTGCGGGTTTGCCTTTGAACACCAAAGACGACAAGCGACTGGTCTCCTCAGGGCCCGCTCTTTGACCAGATTTGCAAAAGGGAGCACAGGGAAATCCCACGTAGAAGGATGGGGGAAATCTCATCTGTTTGTCTGTGGTGGTGACTCTCCGGGACATTTATTCCCAGGCCTTGGGTGTGTGGGGAAGGGAAACGGTGCAGAGAACTCCTGGCGCTTCAGACGAGTGATCCTCAAGAGAGCCTCCGGGGCCTCAAGGCTTTCAAGCGGATGATACGAAGTTGCTCAGGGTGGTGAAAACCAGTGAGGATTGTGAGGCACTCCAAAGGGATCTGTCAAAGATGGGCGAGTGGGTGTCAACATGGCAAATGGGGTTCAATGTGGCCAAGTGCAAGGTGATGCACATTGGAGCCAAAAATCCTAACTATAAATACACGTTGATGGGGTCTGAACTGGCAGAGACTGATCAAGAGAGAGATCTTGGAGTTGTTGTAGATAACTCACTGAAAATGTCGAGACAGTGTGTGACTGCAATAAAGAAGGCCAATGCTATGCTGGGGATTATTAGGAAGGGTATTGTAAACAGATCAGCCAATATCATAATGTCCCTATATAAATCAATGGTGCGACCTCATCTGGAATACTGTGTGCAATTCTGGTCACCACACCTTAAAAAGGATATTATAGCTTTGGAAAAAGTGCAGAAAAGGGCAACTACAATGATAAAAGGGTTGGAACACTTCCCCTATGAGGAAAGGTTAAGGCGCTTAGGGCTCTTTAGCTTGGAGAAACGACGACTGAGGGGTGACATGATTGAGGTTTATAAGATTATGCATGGGAAAGAGCAGGTAGAGAAAGAGGTACTTTTCTCCCTTTCTCACAATACAAGAACTCCTTGTGGGCACTCCATGAAATTGCTGAGCGGTCGGGGTTAGAACGGATAAAAGGAAGTACTTCTTCACCCAAAGAGTGATTAACACTTGGAATTCACTGCCACAGGAAGTGGTGGCGGCTACAAGCATGGACGGCTTCAAAAGGGAATTAGATAAGCATATGGAGCAGAGGTCCATCAGTGGCTATTAGCCACAAGGTATAGATAGGGACTCTGGGGCAAGTGGTGCTCTGTCATCTTGGTGCTTGGGAGGGGTCAACAGTGGGAGGGCTTCTGGAGTCCTGGCCCCACTGCTGGACCTCCTGAGGGCACCTGGTGTTTTTGGCCACTGTGTGACAAAGAGTGTTAGACTGGATGGGCCTTTGGCCTGATCCAACATTGGCATTTCTTATGTTCTTTCTGTTCGGCCGTGAGCACAGAGGGTGACTCCCCGTAACGGTGGGAAAACCGAGCTGGTGGAAACATTCGGACCCGACCCACACTGACCTTCTGCTCTCTCGGGCAGATCTCCAGCCAGATGAGGGACTCTGAGCAGGTCCTGCTGCAGTCGGCTGCCTCGCTGGAGTGCACCTTGCGGGGGATCCTGCATGAACGCCACCTCCGGAGTTACATGTCGGAATCCCACTGGGACAGCCTCATGCAGGCCTGGGTGAGGAGGAGGAGGAGGAGGGGCTGATTCCCCCCGGGGGGAGGGAGGGAGGCCGAGGACTGCCCAGGCACGGGGCAGAGCCCCCCCCTTGCTTCTTCTGACAAGTGAGTGGAGAGTGGAGGGCTCGGGGGGGGGGCCTCTGCCCACTTGCACAACACCAACACATTCCTGGCTGCTCCCCTGCAAAAAGGGACTGCTGAATGGCCCTGGGGAAAGCGGAGGCTTCTCCCTCCCCTCCCCTCCCCCCCACCTACTCAAGGAGCTGGGAGGGAGGCTCTGGGGAGGGGCTCAGTCGGACGGGGGGGGCTCATGTTGCAAGAATGGCAGTGGCACATCCCCCTCCCCCCCGCCATCTTTGCTCGCTGGCCTGGCACCGCCAATGCCGGCGTGATGCTCAAGAACGGGGAGGGGGGAGTCTAGCCCTGCCCACACCCTCAGGGCCAGCTGAGCGGTTCCTTCTTGCTTCAGGACCGAGAGTGGCTGCTCCCGGGGGCCTCTCTGGTGGTGGAGTGGCTGGGCCTCGGCCTCACCCCTTTTGCCGGCACCGACGTGGAGCCCGGCGAGGAAGAAGATGCAGGTATTCAGAATCCTAGAGCTGGAAGGGGCCCTAGAGGCCATCTCGGCCAACCCCCCCCCCCCCGCTGCAATGCAGATCAGCCCAAAGCCTCCCCGACAAGTCTTCGTCCACCCACTGCTTGAGGCTGCCGGCGGAGAGGGATCCTCTCCCCTCCCCTCCCTTGGCGAACAGCATTTCCATTCCGCTGTTTCCACAAGCAATGCAGAGTGACTTGCCTGATTTCCCTTGTCCTTACAACAACCCTGTGAGGTGGACAGGGCTGGGGGGGTGGCCCCTGAGATCTGGCCAGCCTGGTGGGCTCAGTGGGTCTTGAGGGCAGGAGGGGGCCTTTGAGCTCTCTGCTGCTGCTGCTGCGGCCGCCGATCTGCCTGCCTGGACCCCGCAGGTGCTCCGGAGGAGCAGGAGGCGGAGCCAGATCTGCTGGCGATCGCAGAGGAGGCGGACCTGATTCAGGAGGAGCGCCTGCTGGACGGCGATGAGGCCGCCGGCCCCCGCTTTCTGAAGCATAGGCCTCCCCTCCGACATGATGCCGCTCACCTGGCCAACCTGTTCCTGGCCATGAAGCTGGAGGAGGAGGAGGAGGAGGACCGGGGAAACGAGGACCCCCCCCTCGGGCGTGGCAGTGCCGGCTGGCAGGTGAGAGGGGCCTCAGTGCCCGAGAGAGAGAGCCCCTGGCTGAGAGGGCGGGGAATCCCAGATGGGTCTGTGCCATGGGGGGGGGAGGTCCGAATGGGGGATGCCCAGTCCCCCCACCCACGCAAACACCACCACCGCCACCCCGGCTTCTCTGCAGGTCCAACGAGGGCAGAAGAAGAAGATGAAGGGAAAGGTGAAGAGAGAGCTGCAGAAGCCGCAGGCCATGACGGAGGCCCAGGCGGAAGCTGTCTGGGATGTGTGGAAGCTGAAACCTGATTCACGCTGGCAGCTCTACAGGTAGCCTGCTTCTCGGAAGGGTAGAGAAGGAGAAGAAGAGATTGGATTCATACCCCGCCCTTCACTTGGGAGTCTCAGAGCAGCTTACAATCTCCTCCCTCTCCCCCTCCCCACAACAGACACCCTGTGAGGTGGGTGGGGCTGAGAGAGCTCTTGACAGAAACAGCTCTTTTTCAAGGACAGCTGTGCCAGAGCTTGTGACTGACCCAAGGTCACACCAGCAGGTGCAAGTGGAGGGGTGGGGAATCAACCCCGGTTCTCCCAGATTAGAGTCCTCTGCGCACTTAACCACGGCACCAACCTGGCTGGTAGGGGCGGGGGGCGGCCCTCAGCCAGTCTGGCTGGCACTCACTGCCCTCTGCCCTCTTCTCCCCCCCCCCCCCGCAAAAAAGCTGCAGAAGTACCAGGCTGAGATCCGGAGCAGAATCCTGCGGCAGCGAGAGAGCTACCAGGCGGCCGCAGAGAGGCTGGCTGAGCTGCGGCTGCATGAGGACCTTTGCATCATGGAGAAGGCCCAGATTATTGGGATGACGACAACGGGTGAGGGGCACACGGGGGGGGTGGTGCCTGGGAAGGCTTTGTCCCCCTCCCTGGGGTGGAGAGTGGCACGCTGCCTCTCTCTCTCTCCCCCCCCCCACAGGAGCTGCCAGGTACCGCCAAGGGCTGCAGGAGGTGGCCCCTCGCGTGGTCATCGTGGAGGAGGCGGCGGAAGTCCTGGAGGCCCACACCCTCACCACCCTCAGCAAGGCCTGCCAGCACCTCATCCTCATCGGGGACCATCAGCAGGTAGGGGGGGGAGAGGAGAGGGGGGGTGACCGGCTGAGGCTGCTGGGTGGGCACCTGAAGCTGCCGCGGGGCTGGGAGCAGCCAAGACCATTCTCTCTCTCTCTCTCTCTTTCTCTCTGGGCAGCTGCGCCCCAGCGCCAACGTCTACGACCTGGCCAAGAACTTCAACCTGGAGGTGTCTCTCTTTGAGCGGCTGGTGAAGGTCGGCCTGCCCTTTGTCCGCCTCGATTTCCAGGTGGGGAGTGACTCAGGTCGCCTCGTGCCGTGGTGGGGTGGGTGGAATGTCTCTCCGGTACCCAACATTGGTGCCCGGGAAAGGGATGGTGCTTCTCTTGGTGGCAGCCCAATCTCACAGCCCTCACCCCCCCCCCCGTGTCTGCGGGGGGGGGCTTGGGCCCTCCGCCTTTGTGCGCAGAGGGGTGCTGCCTCTGGGACGGGTGTCCCACCGCCATGCAGCCCTCCCCCCATCCCACTCAGAGGGGGGGGGGCTGTCGCAGGGTCCTGGCTGGTTCTCTTCAACGGCCACACCTTGAAGCAGGGAGGGGTTAGGGTCTCCCGGCGTGTGCCATGATGGCTCTTTGTGACCTCCTCTGCGTGGTTTTCCAGCACCGCATGCGGCCAGAGATCGCCCGCCTCCTCACGCCACACATCTACCAGGAGCTGGCAAACCATCCCTCGGTGCTCGAGTACGACAACATCAAGGTACGCCCCTGTCCCGCACGGGGCCCCTTGCGTCCCTCCATCCGTCCTTCTTCGTCTCGGGCCTGGCGGACGCGGGCGGTGGGCACCTGGGGGGGTCTCAGCCAGGGCTGCCGTGACGCTCTGCCTCTCCCCCCTCTTCTCCTCGGCAGGGCGTGTCCTCCAACCTCTTTTTCGTGGAGCACAACTTCCCAGAGCAGGAGATCCACGAAGGGCGGAGCCACCAAAACCCGCACGAGGCCCACTTCGTGGTGGGGCTCTGCAAGTACCTGCTGTGCCAGGACTACCAGCCCTCCCAGATCACCATCCTGACCACCTACACGGGCCAGCTCTTCTGCCTGCGCCGGCTCCTCCCGGCCAAGACCTTCCAGGGCGTGAAGGTCCACGTGGTGGACAAGTACCAGGGGGAGGAGAACGACATCGTCCTCCTCTCCCTGGTGCGCAGCAACCCCGAGGGGCGGGTGGGTTTCCTGCAGATCCCCAACCGCGTCTGCGTGGCCCTCTCCCGGGCCAAGAAGGGCCTCTTCTGCATCGGCAACATGGCCATGCTGAGCCAGGTCCCCCTTTGGAGCAAGATCGCGCACACGCTGCGCGAGAAGGGCCACATCGGCCGCTCACTCCTGCTCTGCTGCCAGAACCACCCGGGCACCAGGACCGCCGTGGCCTGCGCCGACGACTTCGGCAAGGTCCCCGAGGGAGGCTGCAGTATCCCCTGCGAGTACCGGCTGGGCTGCGGGCACGTCTGCCCCCGGGCCTGCCACCCCTACGACCTCCAGCACAAAGAGCTGCAGTGCATGAAGGCTTGCCAGAGGGTGCTCTGCGCAGACGGACACCGCTGCCCCAAGGTGTGCTGTGAGCCGTGCGGGAAGTGCCTCGTCTTGGTGCCCAAGGCTCTGCCCAAGTGTGGGCACCTGCAGGATGTGCCCTGCTCAACTCCGGCAGAGGAGTTCTGCTGCCAGGAGCCCTGTGGGAAAGCCCTCCGGCGGTGTGAGCATCGCTGCAGGGCGACCTGTGGCCAGGAATGCACCAGGCGCTGTCCGGAAATGGTTCAGGTCACGCTGCCGTGTCGGCACAGCCAGGAGGTGGAGTGCTGTATTGCTGCTGACGTGGAGAGCGGGAGGCCTGTGCCGTGCCAGGTGGAATGCCGCAGCATGTTGGAATGTGGCCACCCGTGCCCGGGCTCCTGCCACTCCTGCTCCAATGGCCGATTCCACCAGCAGTGCAGCCGGCCCTGCGAACGCCTCCTGATCTGTTCTCACAAGTGCCTGCAGCCGTGCACCAGCGAGTGCCCCCCGTGCCAGCGGCCCTGCGAGAACCGCTGTGGCCATAGCCGCTGCCCAAACGAGTGCGGGGAGCCGTGCACCCCCTGTGCCGAGCCCTGTGAGTGGCGCTGCCAGCACCACCAGTGCACCAAGCTGTGCTCCGAGCCGTGCGACAGGCCCCGCTGCGATGTGCCATGTCCAAAGGAACTGTCGTGCGGTCATGCGTGCGCAGGGATGTGCGGAGAGCCGTGTCCGGAAAAGTGCCTCGTGTGCCACGGGGAAGAGCTCACGCAGATCTTCTTTGGCCTTGAGGATGAGCCCGGGGCTCGCTTCGTGCAGCTGGAGGACTGTGGCCACGTCTTCGAGGCCAAGGGCCTGGACTGCTACATGGACCAGGACGGAGGCGCCGCCATCAGGCTGAAGGTGTGTCCCGCCTGCCAGACGCCCATCCGAAAGAACCTGCGCTACGGTACGCTGGTGAGGAGGAGCCTGCAGGAGATCGAGAGGGTGAAGGAGCGGATCCGGGGCTCCCCAGCCGAGGCCGAGGCCCGCCGTCACAGGCTGGAGGCCGAGCTGGTGGGCAACGCCAGGGCCCTTCTGCTGCATCTGCCCGAGCAGTACTTCCGGCTGCGGGAGAAGCTGAAGCAGCCCTCTCTCTGCGGCCAGGGCCTGGATGTCATGGAGAGCCTGGTGGGCTTCTTCATGCGGCTGGCCGATCTGCATGCCTCCGTGAGCAAGCTGGACCCCCGCGAGCAGGAAGGCGTGAGGCGGCGGCTGGCGGAGGTGGGCCAGTGGCTGGAGAGGCCCCGCCGCACCGTCACCCCCCAGGAGCTGTTGGACCTGCAGGCCGAGTTCCAGCGGCTGGCCTTCCTCCTGGACCTCCTCGGGGCCTGCAGGGCCGCCCAAGGGAAGATGGAAGACCCTACGGGAGAACTGGTGGGCACGGTCCGGCGGGTCCTGGAGGGCGTGGGCAGGTTCACCCCGGAAGACGAGAGGTTCGTGAAGGAGAAGATGGAGGCGGTGAAGGCCGCTCTGCCCACGTCGGGCCTGGGCATCTCCGAGGCCGAGAGGGTGCAGGTTGTCACTGCCATCATGGCCAATCGCCGGGGGCACTGGTTCAAGTGCCGGAACGGGCACATCTACGTGATCACCGAGTGTGGGGGCGCCATGGAGGAGAGCCGCTGCCCGGAGTGTGATGAGGTCATCGGTGGGACCAACCACACGCTGGACCCCAGTAATCAGCTGGCCCCCGAGATGGACGGGGCGACTCACCCTGCCTGGTCAGAGGCCGCCAACCTCCTGCTGCGCGGGGCGGGGTGGCACGGCCTGCCCTAGGAAGGCACCAGCCCTTGTCATCTCCCCTCCACCCCACCTTCCCTCGCAGGGAGAAAGGGGGCTCCTTCCTCGCAGCCTCTGGGTCCCAGTAGCCCAGGCCTCCTCTGCTGGCCAGTGAGTCTCTCAGAGCGCTGCAGCGCTTGACCTCTGGCACTTCCGCGTGTGCTTCGTCCTCCCCCACCCCACCCCACCCCACCCCCGGGAAAACGGGGGCCCTGTTAACTCTAGCCAGATTTTTACTGCAATGATCGCCCATAGTTTCTATCAACTCAGTTATGTATTTTTATACTCTTTTATAGGCTTCCTCTGCCATACGATAAATAAATAAATATATAATCTCAAGTTTTGGGTTACAAGTAGGTCATGAGTTGCGCTTTTGCCACCTTTCTTGTTTCTTTTAGAACAGAGAGAGAGAGCGCGCCGTGGCCATTCTGGTCCTCTCTCTCTCTCTCTCTCTCTCAACGAGGCATCAGCAGATGGGGTGGCCCCAGCCCCCCTTTAGCAACAGACCCTCACTCACACACTGAGTTGTCGGGGGCTCAGTGTTCCGTTGACACATTGCCACCATTTCGTCACATCCTGTAACACACACCTAGACCAAGATATCAACCTGTGTTTGTGTGTTTCTTCTCCACCGTTTCCACTCAATGTGAGACCACCTCTTTTCCCTCCGGACTCCCAGCCGCTCTCTCCCCCTGTGCTTTCCAGCTCTCTGCTCCCCTCTCCATTCCCTCACCTCCCACTGGTCACCCCCCCCCCCCAGGGAGAGGCGAAAGCTCCCCTGTTGGTCCCCCCCACTGTGTGTGTGTGGGGGGGGGGTGAGACAGACAGTGGGGTGCCGAGGGGGCAAACGGGGGCCGGTGTCCCTCCAGGCAGAGGGGTCTTCAGGGCAGACACGCAAGAGGCACCTGGATCACACCTGCAGGGGGCCATCAAGAGTACCCAGCGGGGGGGGGGAGTAGCAGGGCGAGGGGGGCGAGAACACGGGAAATGGGGGTGCTCTGCAACCATCTGGGGAAGGGGAAGGGGAGGACCCGACCCACCGGGGGGGGGGAGAGAGGACCCCCATCAGGAGTGACAAGGAAGGAGGAGCCAGAGAGCCAAGAAGGCCCTCCGTCAGAGACCAGGGGGAGTTAAGAAAAGCACCAGGCAGATGGAGAGCCCTGTAAGACCTGAGTCTTCAAAGAAGAAGGGGGTGTGTGTTACACCGTGGGGGAGCTGTGGACTGTGCTGCCATTCCTTGGTGTGGGTGGAGGGGGGTGCGTTTAGGGCAGCCCCGGGTGGGGTCTTCAGGGCCAGAGATGAGCAGAGGGGGCTTGCCATGGCCTGACCTCTGGAGGAGGGTGGCCCTGGACTCCCTTGGTGGCCTCCCAGGCGGGCACTGAACCAGGGCTGGCCCGGCTTAGCTTCTGTGATCTGGTGAGGTCAGGCTAGCCTGGGTCTAGTCAGGGCCAGGGCCTCCCTTTTTTTATTTGTAGCCCCGGGGGGGGGGGGGCTGGGAATCGAGGCAAGTTCGAGGCTTGGGGGCTCCTCTTTTGAAGGCCCCCCCACTTGCACACCTTGGCTGAAGTGAAGCAGCTGTGTGTTGCAGCAGGGAGAATGTAGCTTTGCGCACGGGGCCTGCAGCCGCCCTTCCCCCCAAGCCCCTTCCCCAACCCAAGGCCCAGCGGCAGCGGCAGTCTGTGTCCTAGAAGTGCCATTTCTGGCCCAGCCGCAGTCCCTCCGGAGCTGGGCCTCCCAAGGGGGGGGGGAAGTTCCCCGGGCCTCCCCCCCCCCACTGTCGGAGAGAAGCCGGCTTCAGTTCATGGGCAGATAGCCTTGGGGGCTCACCCCCTCCTGGGTTTTCTCCCCCCCCTTTCCTTGTTCCACCCAAGGGCACATGTCCCCCAAGCTCCGGGTATTGTGGGAGCTTGGGGGGACATGTGCCCAGAAGAAGCTTTCTGCACTTTAGTTTCGCTCTGGTCACTCAAGGTGGGTTGCTCTCCGGATGACCCCCACTCAGGCCTGGCTTATGTTCTGGGGAAGTGCTGTTTTGGTGCCAAGTGCTGGAGGGTTACGCGAAGCAAGCGGCCAAGGAGAGTTCTTTGACACTGTGGCGGAACGGGGACCCGCCCTCAGCCCTGGGAGCCTGAGGTGCCGCCGTCCTGTGGCTCGCAAGCCCCTGTCTTGGCCCTCCCACCCTGCCTGGCGGGGCCATTTCTCTCTCCGTTAGACGCGGGCACCCCTCACTGAATGGACACCGCCTCCCTAGAGGGACAGTGAGGCCCCCTCTGGCTGATTCCACCACCACCTTGGGAAGCGGGTACCTTGATCTTTGGGTGCCCCCTGGAGAGTTGGCAACCCCTCCGCTTCAGGCCCGTTTGTGTCCCCTGGCCTCCCTTTTGCCCCTGGCAACGGGCAGGGCGGGGAGGGCTGTGTCACACCAGGCCTTTTAAACTCAAAAAGGAAGAGTTATTTAACTCTATACAGGTTAGGCATGAAAATGAACACCGGCACTTCCGACATGACCTGGGCACAGAAACTAAACAGGGTCGGAATGCCCTTCCTCTGCCCCGACACACGGGCAGACCCCTCCCTCTCTGCCCTCTGCAGCGGGTGGTGGCCTCAGGCCAGGGTTCGCTCCCCCCCCCTCCTCGTGGTTGGAGGGGAAACCGCAGCCCTTCCCCAGACTGGCCACCAAGAACTGCCACCTTCCTGGGCTCCCCACCACGGTGTACAGTGGCCTGGACTGACCACGGGGTCTGAGGCGACAGGAGCCCCCCCCCCCACCTGCCCACTGCCTGGAAGCTCTGGTCCCCCCACTAAGCCAGTGGCTGAAGATCCAGGTGGAGACTAAAGACTCTCCTCCTCAGCAGCCAAAGCCTTTATCTCCTTGGCCCCGCCCCCTGGGGTGTGCCCCTCTTTTCCCGCTCTTTCCCCTCAGGGATGCTGGGAAGTGTAGGCAGGGAGGGAGGGGAGTCCCCCCCCCCCACACACACACACACTCTTAAGGAAGTACCAGGCTGGCATCCATTTTAGGTACAGCTGCCTCTGCCTGGCAGCCATTTCGTCACAGACAGCATGATTGTCTGTGGCCAAGTGCGGCCATGAAAGCCAACCACTATTTGTAAGACAGAACCTGTGTCCCTTATTGTGTTTGCCCAGGCCAATTTGAGAAAACACACAAAAGCAGTCCTGTAGAGTTGGAAACCAAAAAATTAATTTATTAATTAATAAGGAAGAATACAGATTCAAGGGTTTTGGAACCCTGAATACCGAACAGATTCTTCAAGTGTTACAATGGGTGAAATAACATTTTATACTTCACATTACATCAGAGAAATAAAACAGAATCATTGGTTCCATCAAACATTGTCAAATTTCATCCCCTATTTCCCATTGGGTTAAGGGGGGGGGGGGTTGTTCCCAGGCAGAGTTCTTCTTTTCCTAACAGAACAATACACTTTCAGAAGCTATGAAGCTGCATGTTGTATCTATATAACTGATATGGTTACAGAGTGCTTACTGGTTAACTGACATCAGAAACATGCGCAGTTGTAGCTGGCCAGAACAAGCAAGGTCATGGGTAGCATAACTGTGTTTCAGCATTTCAGCCTTCTTCCCAGCATGCATTCAAACAACAGTCGCAAATGAACCAAAGTTAATACCTGAATACATCCATGATGTCAGAATCATATGTATTATGGAAGTGCTACGTATACCTACTAAGTTAAACCTGTTAGGCAGTGGCAGAGGACAAATTGGTTCATAAAATGTGCGTACAACACTGGCAATGCCACAGAACTGAGGGCCCTTCCAGCCTCTCCTCCGCCCGGGGGGGGGGGGCCTTCTGCCCACTCACAGGACGCCTCCGCCTACAGGCCATGGATGCCGGAGGGGCCTGGAAAGAGGCTCATCAGGGCGACCCTCACCCAAGAACTTTTGTTCTCCCCAGAGAGCCTCACCCGCTTGGCGAGACCTGCCCTTTCAGCCGTGGTCAGGGAGCAAGGAGGGTCATTTGGGCTTCCTCCCGACCCCTCCCAGAGCATCCACACACACACCGGTGCCATGGCAACTGGAGCACTGCTGCCCACGGATGTGGCCTCAGGCCCGGAGGAGGGGGGAGGAAGGTTTACTTCCAAGGAGGCCAGTGCTGCAAGGCCCTGAAGATGATCTGTGCCCTTTCTGTGCCATCTTGCTGCCCACGGCACAGGCATCGGAAGGGTACTTGAAATACATATAATACACCGGTGGAACAGCTCAATAGAGCGTCTCTCCCCGGACTGGCAGCAGGTGGGGCTCCTCGGCTACGGGTCTGGAGGAGAAGGGGAAAAGAATGTGATTTCTCCTTGAGATAGTTAGATATAGACAGTTGTCACTGTGCCTTCAAAAGTTTAATCATAACAGATCCAGATCTTGGTATATAACCTAGAACCTTCTGATTGTTGAAAGTTACAGCAGAACATATATATTTTATAATTGCATTTTTTTTTGTACAGGAAGCCTCTGTAGATGGAATTAGGATGCAATAGAATGGAATGTTATTTAGAAGTTGCAAGGAAACCGAGAGCGAGGCGTAATGTGAATCGCAACCCCTATCGGGTAGCTGGCCACGTGCCAGCCCAGGAAGGGTCCCAGAGCTCTCTACTGTTCCCAATGTTCTGAAGACCAGATAAATGAGTGGAATTACTGACACCAATGAGAGAATGCACTGCCTCAAAGGAGGCGTCCATGATGTTAACTGCTTGGGTTTTTGAAAGTGTAAATGAGGATAGGCGATTTCACCTGGGGTATAAGACCCTCTGCCCTTCCAGGTGAAGGCGGGATCCAGACCGCTTGGTGTCGCTGGGGCCCTAAAGGTGCTCTGCCCTGTATCTCCTGCTTCAGTTGCAATAACCAGATACCCATCTAACTCCTTGGACTCGGACTGGGTGTTTCCAGTCCGGCCCAGGGGTCACACGGGGCACAGAGGTGTGCATCAGGTTCGAGTCCGCGCCTGCAGCCGAGTTCCCTGGAGTTCGAGTCCCGCGCCGGCCAGGCCACGTTGCGCTGCTGCGCCCGGCACCCTGCACGGGATGTTCGGGAGGGGGCACCCCGGCCCGGCTGCTGCCCCGGAGGCGCAGAGAGTCCCCGCGGGTCGGTTCCCCGGGAGAGGGAAGAGCAAAAGAAGGCAGCGCGTGCGGAGGGACCGGCACCCTGCACGGGATGTTCGGGAGGGGGCACCCCGGCCCGGCTGCTGCCCCGGAGGCGCAGAGAGTCCCCGCGGGTCGGTTCCCCGGGAGAGGGAAGAGCAAAAGAAGGCAGCGCGTGCGGAGGGGAGGCCGGGCGCTTCGCAGACGCGGACTTCAA